CTGATCTGCCTCACCCGGGAAGAGCGCAATGATGGTGCCAACTTGGGCCAGTGAAGCAACGTCCTCCACAACTAGACTGAAGAACAAAAAAAAAGGACAGAAAGTTGTCTGTTCCCCTTCCCCAATTCCCCAGCACTGTTCCCATCCCCCAATTAAAAAAAAAAACAACACTGAAGGTTTCTGAGGAAGAGCTGTGCTTCAAGAAGATTAAGCTGATCACAAGTGCACTAGCAGAACACTGAAGGAGTGGAGGAAGAGGCGGGACTAGTTATGAGGCTGAACAGTCCAGGTAAGAGGTAATGCAAGCTGGAATCAGGGCAAAGGCAGTGGGGAACGAAAATGAGGGGACTCAGAGAAATTTCAGGAGGAAGCATAAAGGAGGGCTTGATCACCTCATCACATCTCTCCTCCACATAGGGTATGTGTCAGCTCAGCATTCAAGGCCCTTCACAATTTGTCCCAACTACTTTTCTATATTTACCTTTCACTAAACATGCTACATGCCTCATTCTCCTGGTTGGTATTGATCGTGTTCCTTTATCCAGGGATAACACATACTTTTGCACTTATCCCCCATGTACAAATCTGACCCAGCCTTGAAGGTCTAGCTTAAATGCCATCTCTTCCATTAAACCTTCTCTACTCGCCTGCAGCCAGAATTAACCTCTCCCTCCTCTATACTCCCACAGCACCTTGTATTTTCCTCTGGTCTAGCACTCATCCCACTTTGTATACACCTTCCTCAGTACTCTATTGCCCACAGAACCAAGTTCAAAAGCCTTAGCAAGGCATTCAAGGCCTTCCATTAAAATGGTAATAATGTGTGTATTTCTATCTTTATCACTAAAGTTTGGGCACCTTAAGAATATAGGCCTTCTTTGTATCCCACCATAGCATTCTATAAACAACACATTCAAATTCAATAAATTCTATGTAGAGGCATCTATCATGACAGGGTTGAAGGTCTGGTGGGCCCCAGTGAACTCTGGTGACATGGCAGGTGTTTCCGGAGTTTTCAAAGTGCCTGTAGCATGGTTAAAATGCCACTATTATGGATTACATTTTAAAATAGTCTGCTGGGTAAATTAAATCTTGTAATTATTAAAAATTTCTCCATGAGAGTCAGAAGAAATCATTGCCCTTTTAGGATCTTAGCATAGCTAGAAAGATCTCTGGGAAGGCCTGCTCTTATCACATTGAAAAGCACAAGCTTAACTAGACATTTTTAAGATTTTTATTGAGGAACTGGGGGGATGGGATCAGCGCTGGGGAATTGGGGGAAGGGGAACAGACAAGTTGCTGTCCTTTTGTTCTTCAGTCTAGTTGTGGAGGATGTTGCTTCACTGGCCCAAGTTGGCACCATCACTGTGCTCTTCCCGGGCAAGACAGATCAGTCGCCGGCTTCTGGATGGCCGCTCACTGTGGCTGCTGGCTACACACGGTAGCCCTTGGCAACCCACTGCAGCAGGGGCTGCAGCCTACGCCGTCGCAGGCGACTTACGGCAGCCCAGGTCCAGGTTGAGCTGTTATTCAGCATCTTAGCTGTAGAGGGCAGTGTCACTGGCCCTCATATGTGGGATCCGAACCGGGGCCCTCTGGCGTTCCAAGCCAGCTCTTAACCATCGCGCCACTCGGCCAGCCCTAGATATTTTTAATAGTAATTCATTGGTCATATATATACTATAACAGAGGGATGACTTGAATGTTAGAAAAGGGAAGATTTTTGTAAACCTTTCTAAAATATAATTGTGTAATATAATCCTCAATTACGCATCATATATTCCATAGGGAAAAAAGGCTTTAGACTCAAGAAACCAAGTTCAGATATGAAATAAACGACAGGCCTAACTTTTTATATATCAGATGTTGAGACTATTTCCCCATCCCTACATACAATAATCTGATTTAGAAGCCGAACTGTTTTTTATCTACTTATATAATAACTCTTAGTTTGAGAACTGTTGGCTTTTCAACAGTTTCCCTCACCAATAGCTATCCCCTCTTTTCCATTCCCATTTACTATAACATGTCTACACACACACATCCCTGAAAAAACTATGGGGATAATAACTGCTTCTGAGAAGGTGAAAAGAAAGGTCCCCAATGATTAATTTATGCTAGCAAGAAGTAGAGAATGTATACTTAACCTAGAACTTTCTGCTTAAGGTTCAGTCCTTGATACAAGCATGAACAACAAAAATCTGAATGCTGTCATTACAAACTGGCTTGATTTAATGAATTAATGCATGTAAAGTACTTACACAGAGCCTTGTACATACCAAGTACTCAATAAATGTTAGTATTATTACTGATACTATTGAGTTGTCAGAAAAGTCATGGTGTATTTTTTCTGTTTTTCATTGCAAAAATGCATCATGACTTTTCTGACAATCCAATATTACAAATAGTATAGCTTCCAAGAAGTCTAAATTATTATACTAGACAAACATGAGAGTTTCTTAACCAATAATAAAGAAAAATAGTATGGAAATTACTTTATATCTTTTATATATATATATTTTATATATATAGATAAATTAGACAGTTCTTTTTGATGTGGGTTAATTCTTGCTCCTACCTTAAGGTCTACATAATAGCAGCACAGTCACTTTTGGTAAACATTAATATAAAAGTCCAGCCCACAGACCACTGAGGTGATCCTGAGGTGTTAACAGGGATGAATAGACCATACTCTATAATTAAGTAGAGTTGAAATGGAAAATAGAGCTAAATAACCCCCCCAACACACACACATACACACACACACACACACACACACACGTGCGCACGCGCACACACACACACACACACACACACACACACACACCATGCCTACTTAGACTTTCAGATGTTTTTCTAAGAAAATAAACCTAATTTTAGAAAAATCTATTACTCACCACAGCAAAAACAAAGTCAAGATATTTAATGTTGCTGCTGTTCAGCCTAAGTAGAGCAGTTTGAGAATGGCAGCTGCCAGTGAAGTGAGTTGTATTCGGGTTGATGTTAATAACAGAAGCAACCTTTAAGGGAAGAAGAGTGGGGAAAGGTACAGATTAATCTTAAAACTCTACAGCAAAATCTTATACTCTAATAAGACCAACTTCAGTGGAGAACAAAAAATTCCTTTTGTCTGGATACTTAAGTTTATGGAGCCTTCCTTTCAACCAAAGTTGGCACAGGCCGTCAAGCTACAACTCAAGACGACTTGAAACAAAAGAAAAACAAGAGGGCAGCGTCCTCAGTAATGAGCCAAAGGAAAATACACATATTTTTTGAAGCATTAGAGTCATCTGTCTAGCTTGTTTAAGTCATGGGACTCTGCAAATGGGATTTGTTCATTGGCATGCCCTCTGTAGCCTCAGTGGAACACTGCAACTAGAAGTTCCATCCTGTACTTGAGCATATCTATATGATTTGAGTCATCAAATAGCTGGAGAGACAGCTGCACTATTCCCATACATCAATCTAAAGTGCATTTCAGACAAAGGTGTGAAGGAGTTATATTTAAACTGACTAAAATAACGATCAACTGATAATACCCTGATCTACTGATGGCAAACAGAATCTAAACCCAAAGAGTCCTTTTAAACTGTTAGTTTTCCTGCTGGCCAAAATAACACCACCTTGATAGTAACATTAACTCTTCATGGTTATAGTAACTGCAAACTAATCAAAACTCAATGAGTCAACATCAAATCTCCATTTAAAATGTGCATAGTTCTCATAACACTACTCTTGGGCTGAATGTAAGATACACTACTTGAAAAAAGATGCAAATAGAATGTATCCATAAAAATAGACAACTATACCTTATCTTGAGTTATGTTCAGCTGCAGTCCCATTGTAGCCAGAAGACAAGTACCATTGCCATTTTTAACCCAATAGGATCCAACCTCTGGTTTTTCCTTTGGAGTGGGTGTTGTAGTAGGAGATGGCACAGTAGTGGGCACCACTGTGGTTAAAGTTTTATCTTTTTCACACAAAAACTCTAAAACAAAGGACAAAATAAACTAATATAGACTTTTTCTTAATTCATAACTTCAGGGAAGAGCAAAATATTTCTCACAATAGAAGTCCAAAAGGATTACATTAGGGGAATACCTTGACAGTATATTTTAAATTAAATGAGGCAGAGTTCTTAAACTGCTGCTTCATATGCGGACAATCTCTAAGAGTTATGAGACAGCAGACAGGTTCCAGACACATCCAAATGCTTTATATACGCACACATGGCCACACTCCCATTTTTCTCAGACCCTTAAGTCCCTTTATTCCTAAAGAACTTCACCTGACTCTGATTTGAAAATCAGAGATTTAAGTTTGAAAACATTTTGCACCGACCTAGGCCTGCCCTCTTCTCTCCCACATACAACCACTATAAGGATAATGTTTACCATAAAAAGGTTCAGAAATCATTGAAGAATTTAAATACAAATGAACCTTTCATTCATGGTACCCCTACAGCAAATCACAGGCATTTCAACCTCTTTGTAAGAAGTATTGGTGGGGCCGGCCGAGTGGCGCGTTGGTTAAGAGCTGGCTTGGGAAGCCAGAGGGCCCCGGTTCGGATCCCACATATGAGGGCCAGTGACACTGCCCTCTACAGCTAAGATGCTGAACAACAGCTCGACCT